ACTGGGGCAAAGAAGCAAGGGGGGTGGGCTGTGATGTGGGAATCTCAACCTGAAAGGAAGCCTAGCTGTGGAGTAGCCTCAAAACCTGCATGGACCATCAAGACTGGGAACAGCTGGCCAGGTGTGGTGGCACACACCTTTAATCCCAGCAGAAAGCAGGAGCATGTGGATCTCTGTGAGTTTAAGGCCAGTCTGGTCTAAATAGTAAGCTCAAGGCTAGCCAAGGCTACAGAGTGAGACCCTGTCTCAAAAGACAAAACAAAACCGGACTGGGAAACGGCAAACAAGGGAAGAGCAGGTCCTCTGAGACAAGGGATGCCCATCTGGGCAGTTGCATGGGAGTACAGACAGGAGGTGAGTTCAGACTTGGGACCCTTACAGCTCCCAAGAAACCTAGCAAAACCTAGGGAGTGACCTAAGGGTTCACTCAAGGGAAACCATTTCCTGCTTCCTGTGGCCATTGCAAGCCCAGGGTGCCCTATCTGGGTGAGATCACCTGAGGCCCCCGTTGGTGGTCCTGCTGTTGCTGTGAGGCAACAAGACCTGGAGACAGGATACCTGGCCACCCTGATAGAGGCAGGACCAGGCCACCATGAATGGCACATCCAGCGATAGGATCAGAGAGAACTAGGGACCACAGGAGTTGGGTCAAGTAGCTGTTAGCTCAGGAGCCACAACCCAGCCAATGAGAGGTCCTGTCCAAGTTCTGGGTTCAGGGATGCCGTTAGGTGAAGGATGTGGTTGCTCAGGGCTGGTGTTGCAAGAGGAGAGTTGGGACAAGGGACTAGTACTGGGGCATCATTGTCTCCGAGTAAAATGACCTGAGTCCTCAGGACACTTAAACTATAGCTGATTAGAGGCACAGACAAGGTTTTCCCAATGTCCCCAAATATATCCCAGCCTGTGATCGAAGGGAACATGGATTATTGATAAGCCAGCTCCTAGGTTAAGCACAGTACTTTTTCAAGACCTGAAAAGTTCTCTTGAGTTCTGGGTGATCCAGGGAGAAGGAATTTCTATTGTCCATATGATCAGATTTGCTTAGTCACGTGTGATGTTGGCTGGTTCCCAGCATCCTCAGGGTGAAGTTGAAGAGCAGGAACAATTTCAGTTGCTGGTGATGGAGCTGTGGCATACCATACCAGCAGCATGTTGGGATACCCCTGACTAGCAATGGAGGATGCCATGATAGACGTTCAGGATGAGCCTTGAGCAAATGGGAAGTTAGACTGCGAGTTGGGGACAGAGCAGGATGTCCCTGGGATTGAGATGAGCTGGGAAGGGGCAAGGCGCTTGGACCATTCTGTTTTGACAGCTCTACCTCAGAAAGCCAGTGCCACTGTAGTGACTTGTTTGTCTTCAGGGCCCAGGGTCACACTTGTCCTGTCCTCTTCTCATAGGATCAGGCTCGGAGGTGAGAGGGGGGAAGGTCCAGGGCTGACATTCTCAGTGCTTGGTTCCCAGTTTGTGTCTTCTGATGGGTGTGGCCTTAGAGAAACCATCATCTTCCCCATTCCTAATCTGGGGTGCAGGGACAATCTCAGTGAGTGTGAAACAGTGAGTGTCCCTAGGAAATGTCCCAGGAGTTATTATTGGTCATTATTTTCTGAAAATGAGGTTACCAAGAACATTCCAGAAAGGGCTCTGACACTAATAGAATCCTAAAAGGTTTATTTACCCCAAGATTTCACGAGGGACCAGCCAGTTGTATATTCATAATAGCACCTGTAAAGGGCATTGGGACACACTGGCTCAGCCTTGAGAATGACCAGGCTTGGCTGAAACATCTCTGTATAGACTGCCGTGGGATTCAATTATGACTTTCTCCATTTAATTTTCTTGTCTTTTACATTTAATTGTCTCATCTTTTAGAGAGCATTTTGCTATTTAAAAAACAACGATGTCAGACTGGGCACAGAAGTCCACAGCAGAGTGCTTGTCCATGTGCACAAGATTCTGGTTTCAGCCCCCAGCACTGTAACAGAAAAATAAAACAAAAAACAACAACAAGTCACCCCAACATCAGTGGCCGTTCATGAAAACTCATCTCCTTCCTTGTAGATAAAGACAGGGCCTGAACCATTTGTGAGAAAAGGCGGGTGTGGAACAGCAACTCCAGCTGTCAGACTTAGAACCCTCTTCTAAGTGTGTGCCCCCCTGGGCACTGCCTTGCAGGCACCAATTCCCCTCACCTCCAGATGCCTCTGCAGAGGACACCACACCTGGGGTTTCCTGGGGTATGAGGAAAAGAACTCAGTTGGGCATGTAGAAGAAGGCATGGCACCCACTAAGAATGATGAGGGTGTCTCCACATACCTGCTACCCCATTTTCTGAGGATGACTGCCAGGGCCTTCCTTGCAGGGGAAAGCTACTGTATCATCATCAGTAAGGGCTGTTGAGACAAAAGTACTTCGTAGGTGTCAGAGGGTGGTTACAACAGGAATATCACCAGGGTACCTTCTCTGGGAGCCAGTGCCGTCCTATAAAGGAAGGCGAGGTGGGTTTCCCTTCCCACCCCTCCCTCCACCTCCAGAGTCCATTGAGCGAGATCAAGTTTCTGAGCCTCCAGGCAAATGCTACTCAGTGAAACTTAGTGAGAAGTAAACTCTGTATCAGGTGCCAGGGTGGCTACTGAGGCACAAGTCTGAGGCCATCCTGGCCTACACAGTGAGTTTCAGGCCAGTCAAGGTTACAAATAGCAAGATCCTGTCTCAGAGCCAGGCAAGGTAGCACCCGCCTTTAATCCCAGCACTGGGGAGGCAGAGGCAGGTGAATCTCTGTGAGTTCGAGGCCAGCCTGGTCTACAGAGTGAGTCCCAGCACAGCCAGAGCTACACAGAGAAACCCTGTCTCAAAAACACAAAACCAAACCAACCAAACAAACAAAAAGATCTTGTCTCAGGGAGTGTGGGGAACGGCAGGTGAGATGGGTCTCAGCAGATACAAGAGCTAGCTTCTAACCCTGACAGCCTGGGTTCCATCCCGGAGACTCACATGGTAGGGAGGGAGCTGACTCCTACAAGTTGTCCTCTGGCCCCACATATACACCCTTCTCACACACACACACACACCCACACACACACACACACACACACACACACACACACACGCACGCACGCACGCGCACATGCACGCGTGCGTGCGTGCGTGCTCACTTGTGACCACTAGCTTTTGGGCAGAGACTGAGGGAATATTTCTGTAGCCTGATAGGTAAACTGGAAGCACATATGCTTACATGTTCTTCTGAAGAGCAGAAGGACACCTTTAGTATCATTTCTGGCATCTAGAAGTGCTGGCAAGTATTGGCTCCCTGTTCCAGATCTTAGTGTCCTATGAGCCACACAAAATACTACAAGAGACACTGAGTGCCACAGCAGGAATGGGGTATCCAGTGCCACATGGAGCACAGCGGGGCACAGACTTTGGGCTCAAAGAGCCCACTGACCCTGGCTCCCAGTGTATCACAGGCAAAAACAGAAAAAGTCACTAGGGTGGCACAGGAGGGTCTCAAGCACAGCTGTGGGAACCAGACTGTACCAGTCAGAGGAGCAGTGCCCATTGCCCCAGCACCCTGGCCACCCCATCCTCTCAGGGGCCTGAGGACCCCCTCCTCACCCCCAGGAAGGGGGAATTACAAGAGAAAGGGCTGGCATCCTGGGAGCCATAGGACAGCCATAGTCCCGAGACTCCAGATTCTCCCACCCTTTGCTCTCTGACCCTGAAGCAATGTCACCCAAGTTGTGTGCTTCAGAAAAGCCTTTTTCCTCCACCCTCCCTGTCCTGGGGAGGTGCTGGAAGCACAGGGCAGGTCGTGCTCTTGACGGGCTGTGGTGTGTGTGTGTGTGTGTGTGTGTGTGTGTGTGTGTGTGTGTGTGTGTGTGTGTGTGTTTAGAGAGCATGTGGTACCTTTGAGGACAGTGGCACTGTCCAGAAGCCTGTGGGAGCCATGGGAATCAGGTCTCCCTGAAGTGACCACCTCTCTCCCATTGCTCTGCCCAGCTACAGGCAAGAAAGGGAAAGAAGCCATATTAAAGGCACCTGCTTCCCTTCAGAGGAACAGAGGCCAGGCCTGACCTACCTTGGGGCCCTGCTCAGCAAGCTGGGAGCCCCTCAGGACCTAAGATCTCCCCTGCAATCCTGATTCCCCTTCCAGACTCAGCAGAGCCCCAGGCAGAGCCCCCTCCATTCCCTCTTGCCCCTTGACCCCTTGAAATGAATCTCATCTGAGTTTAGCTCTCGCCAGGCCCCTCCCTTCTCCTACAAGTCACAAAGGTCAGTGCAACTCACTGCCCTACGCACCTGGATGATCTCTGCAGACTACCAACTCCTAGGTGGAGCCTCTGGATGAGAGGATAGTCCTGTCTGAGTCTGAAGTAGATGCTTCCGACCCAATCCACCCTCCTTCTCCTGCTGCTCCCAGTGAAAATAGTTAGTCAACCCCTCTGTACCAAGCCCCTCCCCACCATGCACCTGGGTCAGAACTGCTCTGTGAGGGAGGCCGGGAAGCTGTTGGCCCTCCCCTTCACCCTGGGCATTAGACAGCTGCCACTGTGCGTAGTTCAAGGCAACAGCCCAAGCCCCGAAGATAACCTTAGCCACACTGGGTAACTGAGTCTACAGGGTCCTGGGGTTTAAAAAAAAATGAGGTACAGGAAGGATGTCAACATTGCAGCAGTCTCCTGGCCCCGTGGTGACATTGATGAGGGTCAGAGTATCATTGTCCCAAGACTGGCTATCTGGGATTGTCACCCTTTCTGTCTTTGCACAATGTCACCATATCTAGATTCCAGGATGCTTAGGGATGCTAGGTGCTTGAGAGACAAGAATCAGCCTGATAACTATTCAGGGTGCCTGGGGAACACATGCAGACCTGCCTGAGTCCCACCTTTGGTGAGTTCAGGCCTTGGTTTCCTTGTCTAGAAAACCATTAAAACAGCACCCATAGGTGTTTCCACTAGAGAAAAATAGATTTTGTATTCACACAAAAACTTGAACACAAATGTGCATCACATCTTTATTTAGGAAGCCAGGAAACAGAGCCATGTCCTTCAGTAGCTAGTGCTCAGTGCACTGGGCACCAACACTCCAGAGCCTAAACCCTGGAATTGTGATCAAAGACGACCCATCCTCAGCTGACCAGCATGAGGCCAGCAGCTGGGCTCAGGAGAACCTCTGCATCTGCCGAGTGATCCAGGGTAGGAAGGACTGCACACGTGCGTAGACCCCAGGGATGTCCCTCAGGGCACAGCCATAGCCCCAGCTCACCACTCCCACCAAGTTCCAGGAGCCTGCCACCCTGCAGACCAGGGGACCACCTGAGTCACCCTGTAAGAAAAAGAAGCATTGATAGTTATTGGCCCTGATGTGGGAATGGACAAAGAGAGGAGGAGGTGGGTGGGACGCACATAGCAGGAGTCTCGGCCTTCACTGCCTGCGCATAACATGTCCTGTAGGATCAGTCTCTGGCCACGATTGTGGTGCCTGGAGGCGTTATGGTACAGCTCCTCACAAAGGTCGTTGTCCACGATCTTCACCTGCACCTGCTGCAGGCGGTAGGGAGGGGGCAGTGATCCTGTGGAGAAGAGAGATGTGGCTGGTGGTGCATAGATTCCCCTTCCCATCCCACAATCCTACTGCTCCACCTGGGAGTAGAGAGGAGGCCTGTCTCAAGCATAGCTCCATCCCTGTCCAAGTCCAGCTCCATCTCTGAGCCTCGGCATCCCCCTTCTGGAAAAGAATGTGTGGATGACAGCCTGAAGGGTCCACGTTCACTTATAACTTCTAGGACTTCTACACATGAATTCTGTCTGCTTGTCTGTCAAGGGTCAAACAAATGAGTTTGTTTTCTGGCATTTTCTCCAAAATGCTTTATTATTAGCTGGAAAATAAGTAGCAACCATTCTACCTCAGAGTCTTGGGATCCTGGGCCCAACTGTGTCATTGGCCTCGGGTACAGAGACTCCAATGGATGTGCAGAGCAGCTTGGAGGTGCAGCCAGATTAGTCCGTGTTTTTCAACAGCTCTATCTCTCCTCTTTGGATCCTGCTCCCAGGACCTGGGTATCACCCACCAGGAGCCCTCAGATGGCAAGTTTGTTCCCACAGCTCAAATCCTTCCCCAATACTTACTGTACATGCTCACTGTGCCCCAGCCGGTCACCCAGCACACATCCTTCTGGGTGACCTCAAGAGACCCAGAGGACAGCTTGACAGGCTTGACATTAGCAGAGGACTGCACAGGTTCTGCCAACCGGAGCAGAGCCACGTCTGAGCCCAGGCCAGCATGCACATAGTCCTGGTGGACGATGACCTGGCTCACTCTCAGCAGTTCCTTGCCCCCGTAGAGGTACACATCCCCAGCGTGGATCCGAAAGGATGCAGGGTCAGCATCTCTCCTGGGGTCAGAAAGAAGCTGTGAGTACATACTCTAGGTATTGTGGGGAGGTCCTCCCGGACAGAATCAACTGAAGCCCCATGTTGGCCCTTCTGATTTACCCCTCATTCTCCCCAGCGCCGGAGGACAGAGGCACTCACTGGTGGATGCAGTGGGCAGCGGTCAGCACCCACTGTGGGTGAATGATGGAGCCCCCACAGATGTGCACCCAGGAGGCCCAGTAGTAGCTGTAGATCCTCAGGCTGACCTGCCACGGCCACTTCCCCTGGGGGGCGCTGTGGCCCCCCACGATGCCCACCAGCACATCCTCAGACAGGGGCGCTGCAAGCAACACGCAGAGGGTGGGGGAGGGGCGGCGCTCAGCCTGCCACCCCCCCTGCAGGAGAGCGGCTCACACGTGTGTCCCAAGGGTCCCGGGGACAGGGCTTTACGGGACCAGTGTAGAAGGAAAGGGTAACGTGGGGTGAGGACTCACCTGGGGTTCCAGCAGTGGTGCACCCAACCAAGAAGAGGGTCAGACACAGCGGGCCCAGCATCTGGGGAGACACAGAGAGAGTATATGGAGGGGGCTGGACTGACTGCCATCAGGATGGAGGGGGCTGGAGCGTAATTCTGGGCAAGGATAGGAGCATGGAAAGGCCTGGAGGGGACTGGATTGCCTAGGCTGGGATGGAGAACAGTGAAATCCGAAGGCAGTGGAGGCCTCTGGGAAAGCAGAGGATGATGCCCTTACCATGCCAAGTCTCCACAGCTTCCTCCTGCTTGTCAGCTTCTTTATCCTCAAGCCCCAGGAAGTGGGCAGGGGGCTTGGCCAGGCCTCTGCTTGGAGGAAGAGCTGGGAGGAAGTGGCAATTGACCTCAAGAAAGATGGGAGGGGTCTGGTGGCCCATGCTCAGGGACCTGAAGTCCTTTGTCAGCCAGGTTACATGGGTGTCACCACCTGCCTGCAGTAGCATCACCAGGAATGTCGGGAAGAGGAGGGCTGTGGCTCCGGCTGGTGTCTCAGAAGTGCCAGGTATCCCTCCCTGACACAGCCTGTGTTTTATGGGTGAGGCAATCCCCCATCCATCTAGTGAACTCTGAGACTTGAGTGGAGCAGCTCCCCCATGCCGGGAACACATGGCCATACCCAACACATGTCACAAGGAACTTGAGGCCTGGGGCTCCTCTGTTGGACCTGTGGTGTCCAGCACCACGAAGTGCATCCTGCAGAAATTGCCCCAGGGCGTTCTGCAAGGGTGTCCCTGCTGCTTCAGTGGGCAGCTGAGGCTTAGGAGCCTGGTGCTGGTCAGGGACACCCACAGGACTGTGGCCGCTGTGACAAGCTTTACTGTCAAATCCAAGAACAGATGTTGCCTGGAGTCTACAGTGAGCCAAGCCAAGCTCTCCTGTTTGTGGACCAATTAGGCAACACATTTGCCTGAAGTCTTATCCTGACTGCTGGAGTGTTTGGGTGGGTGAAGGGCCCTGCAGCAGTCCCAGGGGACCTCCACACTCAAGGACAGGCCATGTGCCTGCTCCACTCCTGGCTCTACAATGGAATTTGCCCTTCTCGGGTCAAAGAGATGCCTAGCTAGCCTGGCTCTGGAAGCTCTGTGCTCCTGGCAGGAACTCACAGATCACCTGGATCCCATTCTCAGCCCAGCACTTCACAGCCAGGGGAGTGTGCCCCATGGAGGCATCTGCCCCCATCTGTGGGCATTTCTGGTTTGGAGTCTATGAAGACGCCACTGGCACACACTAAGTAGAAGCCGGGGTGCTGCCAAACTCAGGGGCTCTCCCACATCACATATCCACAGTGTCCCGTTAGAATGACCCCAGTCCCGCCACAGATGCATCCCATCCCACCCATCTTGTGGCCAAAACAAGGATGCCAAAGGAAGCTTCTAGCCCTCAGCTAAGAAATTGTCAGTGACTGGCTCTCTGAGGCATCCCTACTGTCCACATAGGAGGGTCAGGACACCCACCTGCCCCCTCCATAGGGACTCTCAGAGGCAGCTCAGAGCCGGGGTGGGGACTCACCTTGGTTCCAGAAATACCTGGTCCCCCCATATAAGAACTGGCTACAGGTGTTATAAGGCCCTCAAAAGGGGCGGGTGTGCCCAGAACTGCCAAGGACACAGGTTCTTGGGAACTCAGTGGCAGAAGTATTTCTCAGATGGAAGCAGGACAGACGATTCCCACACCCCTGAGCAGGAGGAAGGATTTATATGCTAACTGGACACAGGTGATCCACAGCTACCTCAAACCTGAACCCTGAACCCCGGCTTCCTCAAACACTGTTAACATGTCCAACGTCAGTAAGAAGACAATATGGGCATCAGAGCCTGACAGGAAATGCTTGGATGACTATCATAACAACAATCAGGCCACCATTGTCTCATCCAGTGATAGGATCAGAAAGAGCCATATGGAGGTGGGGTGCAGCTCTTAGCAAAGAGACCACAGACTGGCCAGCGAGAGGGTCGTAACCAGGTTCTGGTCTCAGGGATGCCGTTAGATGGATGTGGCTACCCAGGGCTCTGTTGCAAGAAGGGATGTTGGGCAGAAGCTGAGACAAGGGAGCAGCACTGGGCACCAGGGTCTCAGAGCAAAGGGTCTCCCCAGGACAGTGGAAAGGCACAATCCTGTGTTTCCTGTGTGCCCCACTGCATCCCAACCCTAGGGACCAGGAGAATGTGTGAGTGAGAAACTTGGCCCTGAGCAAAGTGCTTCTGAAAGATGTGAAGTGTCAACTGAGGGATTAGCAGTTAGATAGAACCCTGACAGGATGACAGATAGGGAGGGGAGCACCATAGGAATAAGATAGCCAGAGGGGCTGGAGAGATGACTCAGTGGTTAAGAGCACTGACTGCTCTTCCAGAGGACCCAGGTTCAATCCCCAGCACCACATGGCAGCTCACAACTGTCTGTCACTCCAAGATCTGACACCCTCATACAGACATACATGCAGGCAAAATACCAATGTACATAAAATAAGAATAAATAAGTTACTTTTAAAAAATACTTTTAAAAAAATCTTTGGAATCTATTAACTTACAACCACAAATGTACTTACTTCCTGTCTCCATGTGTTCGCTCTTCTGAGCACGCTGTTGATCAAGAGTTAAATTTGCCTTGTCCAGACACTTCAGCTGGAGTGGTGGTCTCTTTCTTTGAGGCCCGGAGCTTATTTCTTTTCTTTTCTTTCTTTTTTTTTTTAAAGTAGAGTTTTGTTTTTTTTAAGATTTATTTATTTATTATGTATGCCTGAACACCAGAAGAGGGCACGAGATCTCGTTACAGATGGCTGTGAGCCACCATGTGGGTGCTAAGAAAGGACCTCTGGAAGAGCAGCCAGTGCTCTTAACCTCTGAGCCATCTCTCCAGCCCCCGGAACTTATTTCTAACGGGAACCACACCAGACTCTTGAATTTTAAAAGTTATTGACTTATTTATTTTTAAAATGGTATGTATATGAATGTTTTGCCTGCATGGATGTGTTAGCTCTCCACCCCAGCATGAATGGCTGAGGTGCCTATTTAACATATCAAAGCAGATGCTGGCCACCAGGTTCTCCCTGCATCCCTCAGTCCCTACCTGTTACAGGGCCCTGCTGGCTGGCGTACCCCACCCCTTACCCTAAACTTCTTCAGCCCAGGGGCTGGGCTGCCCTTCTCCCGGCTGTCCTTCCCTGTATAATCCAACCATTTTGGTTACCTGGTATTTTCTTTGCCCTCTTAGCTGCTGTACCTGGTCCCCTCTCTCCCCTCTCCTTTCCCCTCCCCTCTCCTCATATGGCTCAGGGTCATGTCCACTCTGGATTCTCCCAGATGTCCCTGCCTCTGACTGTGCTCTCCCACATAGCTACAGTAAACTTTCGCCTCCACCACACCTCGGAGCAGTCACATCCTTTCCTTCCCTTCTGTTTCTCGTTCATCACGTTCGTGCTCCACTTGCACGCCAGATGCCCATGGAAGCCAGAAGAGGGGATGAGATGCTCTGGAACTGGAGTTACAGACAGTTGTGAGCTGCCATGTGGGTGCTGGGAATTAAACCTGGGTCCTCTGGAAGAGCAGCCAGTGCTCTTAATTGCTGAGTCAACTCTCCAGCCCTTTGTTTATTTTTTTTAAGATTCATTTTAAGCTGGTAACCACAATTGGAATGCCTTAAAAAAAAATCCTCAAGTGTATGTGTGAACGTGTTTTGGGTCATTTTGGACTACATGAGAGCAATTGTTTCTGTGTCTATTTTTTAAACCTAAAGTCCAAGGATAAAAAAAAAATTAAGAAACAAAGCAAATTTTTCTAGACTTTACTTCTGAGAGGATTGTTACAGGGAGCCCACCAGGATGATCACTCAGACACAGTTTATAGACAATTGAAAATCTTAATTCAAGCCGGTTGGGATTACACCCTAACCCTAACCCTGAAACTAAATAGCAAGACTAGAAGCTGCTCTCATAACTGACATGCTCACAGCTGAGAGTAGGTCAGTTAAAAAAATATATATATATAAAAGCATAAAAGCCAGGCATGGTGGCACATATCTTTTATCCCAGCACTTGGGAAGCAGAGGCAGGTGGGTCTCTGAGTTTGAGGCCAGTCTGTCCTACAGAGTGAGTTCCAGGACAGGCAGGACACAGAGAAACCCTGTCTCAAAATAAATAAATCAATCTTTTTCCTTCTGCTGTGCCTCTGTGCTTGTTAAGATGTCCAATGAGCTACATGTGAGTTTATTAAAAGAGAAACAGTGACAGCTTAGTTAATGCACGAGCATCACATGGAATTGCTTGCGGTTTCAGAACACTGCATATGAGAGCATATGAAAATGAAAGTCCAACACTCACAGGCAGAATCTTGGTAAGGTGCCTTTATCTTCTTTGACATTTATTAGAGAAAGAGAGAGCAACTGGCAACGTAAGTATGCTTTAGGTGGCACAGTGCAATCTAATCCCTATAGACTTGTTTTGTTTTGTTTTGTTTTGTTTTGTTGGGAGAGGGGGTGTCTCACAATGGAGCCTTGGCCGGCCTTGAAGTCACTATGCAAACCAGGTTGATCCCAAACTTATAGAGATCCACCTGCCTCTGCCCCCGCTCCAAGTGCTGGAATTAAAGGTGTGTACCACACCCAGCTGCAAGATAGTTTTTGGTTTTGTTTTGTTTTTAAATTTTATTTGTTTTTATTTTATGCATATGAGTGTTACACCTGAATGTAAGTGTACCATGTGTATACAGTACCCCTAGGGACCAGAAGAGGATGTCAGATCCCCTGGAACTGGAGCTATCAATGGCTTTGTTAGGTCCTAGGCAGGCCTCCCTCCAAGATGGCCGTGCTGGTGGCAATGTCCTAAACAGAAGGACTCTGATCAGGTCAACAGGATTGTCACTGGGTAACAGAAACCCAAACTCAGTATCCCTCAGGGATCTCCTAAGGTGGCTTCTGTTACCAGGAAAGCCACTCCTTCCCTCATCCATGATGATGGTCAACTACCCTGGGCAAGGACACCTAGTCCTGATTAACACAAACAGCCTGCCGCAGATCAAAGCCCCCACGCTAACTCCCAGGCTGTTCTGGCCGTCATGTCTCCTCCCACCACTCCTGTCCTCTTAAAATCCACAAGGCTTTCCCTGTGGGCTGCTGTTCTCTGCCCCTGAGATGCCCCCCAGCAGTTTGAGTCCCCAAATAAACTCTTCTTTCTACCTGGGGAGTGGTCTAGTTTGCTGGTTTCTTTGTGCCCTTGGTTACAGTTGGGAACCCCCATGTGAGTGCTAGGGACCAAGCAAATATCTCCAGGAGAGCTTCCAGTGCTCTCAACCACTGAGCCATCTCTGCAGCCCCTACCAGATGCTGTTAAAGAAATTGTTTAACACTACGTTGTCAATTTAAGACAAGATTGTATGTTTCATCTGAAAAAGTTGTGTTTTGTTTTCTGATGTCTGTGTTTCAGACTTTTGGCTACTTAGGAAATGTCTTAAAGTCAAGGTCTTTTGAAGGGTTGGTTATTGGTGACATCTTTAATTTTGCTTTGGTAAGCAACTATTTTCAGTTGGCTTTAGTACATTTAATACCTTGTGTATCTGACTAGAAACATGCTTGGCTGTTATTTTATATATTATGCAAAATTTACAGAGTTGTAAATTTCATGCTGCTGCTCAAGGAAGAGCCTGCAGTAGGTCAGAGCCAGCCTGAGCAGTGGGCACAGCTGGCCAGAGTATGCCCTGCTTCCTCTGTTAGAAAGAAATTCGGGACACAGGGGCCATCGTGCCAACTGGTTTGAGCACATGGGACAAGAAGTACACTTGAACTGGGCAGTGGTGGCACACGCCTTTAATCCCAGCACTCGGGAGGCAGAGCCAGGCGGATCTCTGTGAGTTGGAGGCCAGCCTGGTCTACAGAGTTCCAGTACAGGCACCAAAAGCTACAGAGAGAAGTTGTCTCAAAAAACAAAAACAAGAAGAAGGAGGAGGAGAAGGAGGAGAAGGAAAAGAAGATGACTTGACTTTTAGTCTAGTCCACATGGTGACTGTGTCTTTTTTCCATTGGCTAGGGTTCGACCTCACAGCCTTTCTTGATTGGCTAGTTTTAAAAGAATCAGCACAAACGAAGTGAAGGAAAAGGGGATGAGATTGACTCTTTTAAGGCTTTAAAGTAAACAAAGGTTTTACCAAGGGGAATCAAAACATTTGCATAAAAGTTTTATAAGGTGGGGTAAAATAAAGAGATTTTAGTTCCTCATAAATACAAGTTTTATGGTATTTGATAAAAAAAGATGAGTAATGTTTCATACACATTTGACCGTGTGCCAAGCTGACTAGTATAAGCAACCTCTGACCAAGGGCCCCCCAGAGTCACCCTGCAGGAAGAGGAGCAGTACCATTAGAGGCAAAACATAAGGAAATACCTGGATCCAGCCCCCCTTGAAGGGTGAAACATCTGGATCAAGAGTGGGAGGGTCACAGTCGGTCCTGGATGACTCACCAAACAGGGGCCTTGGCCTAAGGTGCCAGCACACAGCATGTCCTCAAAGATGATCTTAGTTTTGCCTTTGCGATGCATTTTTTTCCTGTAAGCCTGCTCACAGGTCTTGTCATCCCAAATCGGGGTTTTCACCTCATACAGCTGATAGGGAGGCTGCAGAGGTACTGGAGGGGTGGAAGGGGCAGGAAGCAAGAGTGAGGGGACATGGCCCCCAAGCCTAACAGATGCACTTCATGCCGGTCATACTGGTCCTGGATTGAGTCAGAGCCTCCATTTCCCCATGTGTCCTGGATGGGGCCATGATCTCAAGCTATCTTTACACACATATCCTTCTGTGTTAAATGTGTTTAGAGTCTATAAAAGGGGTTAGAGCTGGGTGGTTGGTGGTGCACATCTTTAATCCCAGCACTTCGGAGGCAGATGTAGGCAGATCTCTCTGAATTTGAGGCCAACCTGATCTACAGAGTGAGTTCTAGGGCAGCCAATACTATACAGAGAAACTCTGTCTCAATAAATAAATAAATAAATAGGAGTTAGTGACCCTCCAAATTCATATCCACCTAGAACTTCAGAATGTGACTTTACTTAGAGATGAGTTATTTACATATGTTACTAGTTAAAAAACGAGGCCATTGTGAGGCAGGCATGGTGGCACAGGTTTATAATCCTAGCCCTTGAGGCTGAGGCAGGAGGATCATAAGTCTGAGGCAGCCTAGGCTACCTAATGAGCTCATCCTGGATTTTGGATGGGCCCTAACTCTCCTTGTAAGAGTTCTTTCAGGAGGCAGAAGAGAACACAGAGGAGACAGACATGTGGAAACACAGCAGAGGTGAGTGATAAAGCCACAAGTGACAGCGTGTGGAGCAGGAGGAACTAGAAGGGACAAGGACCATGCCCTGAAGCCAGCAGTGAAATCTTGGCCTCAGACACTCCAAAATGAGAGTTCGCTGCTGTTGCTTGCACCCTGGGTCTATGGTGCATGGCTGCAACATATACTAGAAAAAGGTATGTGTGTGTCTGGAGCCTCTGGTGGGTATCTAATCAGCCTCCCTCCAGCATGGGATAGAGCCCGAAAAGCAGCAGCAGCAGCAGCTTCAAACCAGGGCAGCCCAGGCTGATTCTGCCTTGGCTACTTGCTGGCCAGGAGATCTGAAAATGTCCCTGATTTTTGTGGGCGTTTCATCGGTGGCCAAGAAGCTTACCCAATGCGCAGCTGAGTCCTAGGAGAGCCTTGCTTCTACCCATTCGCTTCCACACTGCTAGCTAGCCCTCTGGTAAGGGACATGGAAGGAGAGATTGTGCAATGCCCCCTCTGTCTCTCCACCTTTCAGCCCCAGCTATGCTTACCATTTTCAAGAAGGTTGCCCCAGCCAGTCAGCCAGCACTGGTCACTTGAGTTGAAGGTTGAGTTGTCTTTTGGCAGAGAGACTGGACAGACATAGTTGGATACGGTTAGGAGGGTAGTCAGCTTCAGCAAGGCCAAGTCAAACCTCTTATTAAAAATGTTGAATTTGGGCCGGGCGGTGGTGGCGCACGCCTTTAATCCCAGCACTTGGGAGGCAGAGCCAGGCGGATCTCTGTGAGTTCGAGGCCAGTCTGGGCTACCAAGTGAGTTCCAGGAGAGGCGCAAAGCTACACAGAGAAACCCTGTCTCGAAAAAAAAAAAAAAAAAAAATGTTGAATTTGGGGTGGATGATGATCTTGCTGGTGTTCAGAAGTTCCTGTTCCTTGTAGAGGTATATTTCCCCCACCTGGATCCGGTATAAGGCTGGGTCGGCATCCTGGCTGGGGGAGGACAGACCCTGGGTGGCTCGGAGGCACTTGGTCTGGGGTAGTCCACTGTCTACATTCTACACCCAGTAGGCACCCCCAGTGGTGTCTCACCTTTGGATGCAGTGGGCAGCAGTCAGCACCCACTGTGGATGGATGATGGAGCCTCCACAGACATGCACCCAGGAGGTCGTCTTGTAACTGTAGATCCTCAGGCTGACCTGCCATGGCCACCTCCCCCGCTGGCTACGGTGACCTCCCACAATGCCCACTGGCTTGCTTTTGAAGACAGACACTAAAAACAATGTGAACAAGTCAGACAACAAGGACCAGCCTCCTGCCACCCCCATCCTGGACCAGATGATGCCACCCGATGCTCAGGTAAGCCATAAGAGTGAACAGCTGGGGGCCAGGATAGTGTACCTGATGCCAAGCAGTTACTGAGGTGGATGAGGACTTACCAGAGGCCATGGGCACAGGGCTTCCCAGGCAGGAGAGAGCCAGGAGATATACCAGAAACATCTGCAGGAGGGATGGGGCTCTGAGCAGTGCAGGGCCTCAGCCACCGCAGGGGCCAGGTACATCTCCATGGATGCCCCCTCAAAACTCCTTTGTCCTCATGAAAGCATAGGTTGGGCTTGGTGTAGCCTTCTTGCAACCAAGATGACACTCTGTTTCTCCCTGCTCTGGGCCCACAGAGCTCTTGGCAGGAACTCATAGACCACCTGGATCCCACGCCCAACCCAGCACAGCCAGGGGAGTGTGTGCTGAGGAGACATCTGCCAGCATCTGTGGGCATTTCTGGTTTGGAGCCTGTGAAGACGCCACTGGCACACACTAAGTAGAAGCCGGGGTGGTGCCAAACTCAGGGGCTCTCCCACATCACATATCCACAGTGCCCCGTTAAAGTAATCCCGGTCTGGCCACCAACATATCCCATCCTACCCATCTTGTGGCCAACACAAGGATGCTAAGGAAGCTTCTAGACCTCAGCTGAGAATCTGTCAGTAACTGGCTTCCTGTAGTGTCCCTTCTTTCTGTCCACACAGAAGGGTCGGAACACCCACTGTCCCCTCCATAGGGGCTGTCAGAAGTGGCTCAGAGCCAAGCTGAGGACTCACCTTGGCCCCGGAAACTCCAGGTCCTCTCCTATGAGAACCACCCATAAGGTGTTTGTAAGACCCCAAAAACAGGTGTGGGTGCTCAGATCGCCTATGGCACAGTTTTTTGGAGACTCGGTGACGGAAGTGTATCTCAGGTGGAAGCAGGACAGACAATTCCCACAGCCCTAGGCAAAGAGGAAGTGTTTATATGCTGAACTGGACAAAGATGACCCCCAGCTGCCTGGTGTGAATCCTGGCTTTCTCAAACACCATTAACATGTCCAACATCCGTAAAAAGACAACTTGGGCATCAGAACCGGGCAGGAAATGCTTAGATAACTATCTTAACGACTTTGTTTATGCGTTGGGGCTGGCACCTGTGCCAGGGTTGCGTGATGAGATGGGAGTGAGGGCCAACGTGGACATGGCCAAGCAAAGCGAGGCCTCCTTTTTAGTGGTGGAACATGATCTTCGGAACCATCATTATCTTTAGATCATCTCGGCTGATTGCCAGAGGCCATCACTATTATCAGCTGTCGCCTGTTGACACTCCCTCAATGTGGGGGCAGAGACGGGTCTTTGGATCCCTGCCTGAGGGCGCCAATTATTCTGGGGCTGAAGAAGCAGATGTGATGGTCCCAGAGCACAGCACCACTGAAGTAGAAATTCTCACGTGTCATTGGGACAATAGGAATGTGTTTCCTCGGGATCAACCCATGGAGGCTGGCTCAAGGGGACCAGGCTACATGTTGAGCTGGTCAAACTTAGCAATGTTGTAAAGCATCGTTCGGGTGGTACTAGTTTTGAGGGCATGAAAACCGCAGGTTTGAAGAGGTCATGGAAAGCAGCTGAAGCTTGACACCTTGTGGCAGGTTCGAATCCCTGCAAAGAGGTGCTGAAAAGATACTGGAGAAGGTGAAGGCTCAGTTGCCACAGAGACTCCAAGTATTGAAAAGACCAGGACCATGGGCTGTCTGTCAGGGGGCACTGCAGGTGTGGAAGGGAGCTGGCCAAGAGAGAAGCTCCATGTTGAAGACAGCAGAGCAGAAGTGGGACTTGGAGAGCCCTTTGGATTCCAGAAGATTGTGTGTGGGTCCCAGATGTCAGACGTTGAATGACAGGATTTGGATTTACACTGCTGGATTTTAGTTTTGCTCTGGTGTGATTTTCTTTATGACCCAGCTCTTCCCTTTAGGGATAAGAAAAGTTAAATCTATAGCTTTTTAAAACTTTTCATAGGATTTCATAATTGAGAGAGTCTTCAGGGGCTTTTTAGAGTTGGACTTATTTTATATCCTATTAACAGATGAGACTTTGGAGACAAGGAATAAAAAGTTATGGTTTAAATGACATGTTTGTGTGAAGGCAATACAGACCCCATCTTAGGGTAGGGCCACCATCTTAGACCACCTGCTGTACTCAGTTCCTCGAAGGACCTCAGGAATGTGCCATGACAACTCGAACCGATGCAGAGCAGTATGCTCCTGCAGACGTATAGTCTGCAGTTTATGGCCCTTGAAGATATCTAGATAATTCAGATAATCCTGTTCAGTGGGTTGTAGTTCCCTGGCAAAAAGTCTAACCCAATGGTTTCAAATGTGGTTTCACGCCCAAAGTCTAGACCAACAGTTTCAAAAAAATCACCTTGCCTCATATCCTTTCTACCCAATCCCAAGTTGCTGAAGTATGTGAGCCCCAGCTTGCAGTTCTTCCCTATAAAAACTCTCTACACCTGGGCTCTCAGCCACCTCATTTCCCTCCATCTGCCTGACAGTGGCCCAGGTTGAACCTGACAATAAAAGGACCCTTATGTGCTTGCATTGGAAACCGGCTCCTTGGTGGTCTCTGGGGGTTTCTCGAAACGGGTACAACATTTGTATATCACATTGACGGGGGTGAATTGTGCTGGTCAGTTTTGTCAATGTGACTGTCTTAGCCAGTGTTCTATTACTGTGACACCATGACCACGGTTTCAGAGGTTTAGTCCATTGTCATCATGGTGAAGAGCATGGTGGCACACAGGCAGACATGGTGCTGGAGTAGTTGAGAAGTCTGTATCCGGATCCAGATCCACAGGAAGCAGGAAGAAAGAGACTCTGGGCTTGGAATGGGCCTTTTGAAACCTCAAAGCCCAACCCCAGTGACACCTCCTAATCTTTTCAAATAGTGCCACTCCCTGGTGACCAAGCCCTCAAATCTGTGAGCCTATGGGGTCTGTTCTTATTCAAACTACCACAGCAGTATAGCCTAGAATCACCTGAGAAGAGATTCATAAAGAAGTATCTAAGGCCGGACAGTGGTGGCGCACACCTTTAATCCCAGCACTCGGGAGGCAGAGGCAGGCAGATCTCTGCAGATTCGAGGCCAGCCTGGACTACATAATGAGTTCCAGGACAGCCAGGACTACACAGAGAAATCCTGCCTCAAAAAAAAGAAGAAGTATCTAGCTCAGGTTGGCCTGTGGGCATGTCTGTGTATACTGTCTTGGTTGTTAACTGCTGTAGGAAGACCCAGCCCACTGTGAGTAGCACTATTCCCTAGGCAGAGAGAGAGAGTCCTGAACTGTGTAAGAGAAGAGCAAGCTAGCTGAGAACAAGGGATCAAACAATCACCCACACTTTTCTTCTCTTTCCTGCCTCCACTTCCCTGCAATAACAGAATGTGAGTTGTGAGCCAAGTAAACCCTTCCTGCCCCAAGTTACTTTGCCAGGACATTTTATCATAGCACCAGAAAAGAAAGGAGGGCAGCCATTTTAATGCCGCTCTGCCCCAATTGCAAATGTCCTCTGGATCTGGGAGGTCTAGAGTGTATACTCCATGTACTCAGGGCATCATCCATGTGGAACCATCATCCCCAAGCTGCGTGAAGACTTGGCAGTGAAGTTGCTTTGGAGTTACCCATGCTTCAATAACCCCTCCCCCATGCTCTCAGTAAGCCCAATAAACGAACTGCTTCCCCCATGGTGACCTTTAGTGGAATCACACTTTTGAGGAGAGGGCAGACATTGTTTAAGTCTCTCCAGGGAAGGGACACTCTTTTTTTTTTTTTTTTTTTTTGGTTTTTCAAGACACGGTTTCTCTGTGTAGTTTTGGTGCCTGTCCTGGATCTTGCTCTGTAGACCAGGCTGCCCTCGAACTCACAGAGATTTGCCTGCCTCTGCCTCCTCAGTGCTGGGATTAAAGGCACGTGCTACCGCCACCCAGCCGGAAGGGACACTCTTAACAGGTGGCCTCCACCCAGGCCCAAGGGCCAAGGCCAATGATACTGCTGAGGCCACTTGAACAGAGCTGGGCCCAGCCTTGGGTTTTCTATCATTTGTCTGGTTTGGGGGCTATGTTTTCCTGAGCGCCTTGTGTCCTTGGCAAACACTCTACAGCTGAGCTCTCCCCACAGCCCTGGAGTTGTTTTAATCCTACCTAGAACTCAGCTTACACGAGGGGATGTAAACTTCCGGGAGTCTAGTCTGCAGGGAGTCTCAGAGGGCTAGGAACTGAATTCTTAGGCCTGGTCCCCCACCGATGCCCTGCAGTGCTCCTGCGTTAGCAGATGTGTCCCAGGGTCACGGTCACGGTGCTGCAGGGAGCAAGTTCTACACCAGACAGGGTTTGAAAAAGAAAAAGAAGAGCTTTTTGTTGTTGTTGTTGTTGTTGTTGGTTTTTTGTTTGTTCGTTTGTTTTTCGAGACAGGGTTTCTCTGTGTAGCTTTGGAGCCTGTCCTGGAACTCACTCTGTAGCCCAGGCGGGCCTTGAACTCACAGAGATCCATCCGCCTGCCTCTGCCTCCCAAGTGATGGGATTAAAGACGTGCGCCACCACCGCCTGGCTAAAGAGCATTTTAACGCATCTGAAATTCATGTTTGAGTTGTGTGAGGTTTGTGAGCTTTTTTTTTGTTTTTTCCGAATGGCGTCACATCTTTCCAGCTCTCTCCAGTTTTTTGGGTTTGTTTTTTTTTTTTTTTGGTTTCTTTTTGTTTTGTTTTTTTCGAGACAGAGTTTCTCTGTGTAGCTTTGTGCCTTTCCTGGATCTCGCTCTGTGGACCTGTAGACCAGGCTGGACTCGAACTCACAAAGATCTGCCTGCCTCTGCCTCCCGAGTGCTGGGATTAAAGGCATGCGCCACCACCGCCCGGCTCTCTCCAGTTTTTAATGTCACTTTGCAGACCTGCCTCAGGTCTGGGTTTACCTCAGAGGTCTCTCGTTACCACAGGACTTGTCTGGCCATCTTTTTGTTTGTTTGTTTTCTCACACAGGATGTGAGATTTATTACAGAAGATGATTTGGTGGGATGCAGGACAATACAGTGGAAGCCCTCAGGAAGTACGTGGACGCCACTTGTCCACAATTGGGAATATATTTCACCCCACAGCCATCAGAGATGAGCCACTTCTCAGCTATGACATCATCAAATTCATTGGCATT